AACCTGGCGCGGCTGGGCTCCCGCCCCGGCCGAGGGTCAGCGTGGGCACAGGCACCCAGTGCAGCCGGTGGACCCAGGCCTTTGACCACGAGGGTGTCACGAGTTCACAGTGACGATCACACCCACCTGACGGGTCTGAGGGGCTTCAAACCCACAGGCCCCCACCCTCAGCCAGCTCTCCGCACTGGGCCCTTCTCCCCTCCATGTCACTGCTCACCTGGCCTGCTCCCCGCCCCCTGCCCCCCGTGTCTGTGTGGGACCCCATCCCACCTCAGACTCTGGGTGGCCCTGGGACGGGAGCAGCACACAGCGCCTGCCTACAGGCCTGGGCTTGGTGGGAGAGACAGACAGTCATGGAAAGAGCCAGGACAGGGCAGTGACCACACTGCCTGGCAGGGCAGTCCCTGCCCACGAGCTGGCACAGGCAGTGGTGTAGCAAGGGGTCAGCGGAGACAACCGAGGGGCACCGTAGCCCAAGGGAGCGGCCGAGCAGGGGCAGGTGCTGGACAGCGTGTGCTGTGCGCGGGCTCACAGGCGTGGTCAGAGCTGGCTGCACGGGGGGCACACGAAGGGACAGAAAGGGACTCGGGTGCACATCCGGGGGTCTCGCATGCTGGGCTGGGCAGCTGGACTTGACCTTTCAGGCTCCAGAGAATTCTCCGGTCACTCTCCATGCCGGGCACTCAGAGCCTCGGGGCGTGGCCTCAGGAGCTGGGCTGCCGGGGGCAGCGACTCTTTCTCTGGCCTCAGCGTCTTCATCCGCAGGGTGGGCTGACCGGGCAGGTGAGCCGGGAGCACACGGAGCCTCCGCTGTCCAGAGGGCACTGGGGACAGGGACACGGCGCCGAGCGGTGTGGAGCGCCCTGCAGGGAGGACACCCCTTCCCTGTCCTCTCCTGGGGAGCCCTGCGGGGCCAGCTCTTGCCTGCCTGCTTCTCCTGCACCGAGGGGCCCCCCACGATGTCGCCTGAGAACAGCAAGGAAAGCCCACCCTCCTTGCAGGCTCAGAGCCCAAGGGACACTCTGCCGCGGTCTACAACCCCCTGGCCTGGACGGTCACCACTTTGATCAACCTGACCGTGAGCTTCCCCTCCGTCACGGTCACAGACGAGTCAGGCCACCCGGTCAAGGCCCAGGTAGGGGCGCGATTTCTGCTGCGGACGCACTTGCTGTTGCTGACACCTGCCCGGGCCAGGCCCTCGCAGGGACATCGACAGCCCCGCCCTCCCTGAGGACGTCCATGTGGGGCGTGTCCACTGCGGGTCGGAGGGATCTACCCAGGGGACCGACACTGGGCTGGGGCAGCTGACGTGGCCACAGGTCCCTGGGACAGTCCCTCCCTGGAGGGCCTCGGTGTGGCGAAAGGCCTCCCTGTTCCTTAAAGGGGTGGTTTACGGAGGTGCTGATATCGGGGCTGCCTCTCGGCCCAGCACCCAGACACCAAGGGGCCCCCCACTCTGAGTGTGTGGTCCATTCTCCTCTCCTCCCGTCTGGAACCGGTCCAGGTGCCCCGGGCACCCCTCCTGCCGTCCTGTGGGCCCTTCCCTGGAGGTGCCACCCGTCAGTCATTCAGCAGACACTCCCCCGTGCCTGTTCTGGGCCTGGCTCTGGGCTGAGTTCTGGGTCTCTGGACACATCACTGTGGGGAGGGAAGCAGCTGCTGAAGGGACAGGGAAGGCATGGCGTGGTGCCCCTGGAGCCAGAGCCGCAGCCCCCGATGAGACCGGAGGCGGAAAAGGGTCCCCCCCCGAAAGTGTCCCTCCGTGGGAAGTTGGAGGATGGAGGGAGAAGGTTGCCCCCTCCCGGGAGGGGGTCTCCGGCAGAGGGAACAGCATGGGGAATGGCTCAGGGGCAGGAAGCAGCAGGAGTTGGGAAGGCAGGGCAGTTGGTGGTGCTGGTGCCAAGAAGGAGGCAGGCAGGGGAGGGAGACGAGGCCAGGGCTGGAGCCTGCTGAGCAGGGAGGATGCAATGAGGGGAACTCAGCTCAGTTTGATGATGGAAAGACCCCCTGCCTCCTGGGTAGTGAGCGCCCTGCACAGGAGGAGGGCACGCTGAGGGTTACTGCGGAGACGAGTCCTCCAACCCCGAATCTCTTTTATGTTGAACCTTTGGCTCTGCAGGTCCAGAGTTCGAAGGAGATCCCACATAAATATGACTTGTATGTGCTGACCACAATCCCGGGCCTCAGCTACCGGTACTACAGCATCAGGCCCACCGAGCAGGCCCCGGAGGGCAAACAGGCAACAACCGCCACCATGGCTTTCACCTCCAAGCTTGACCGCAAGCCAAGAAAACCGAGCACCAGGCCCTGGGGCAAGAAACTGGTGTCCGTGAAGAATGACTGCTACACTGTCTTCCTAGACCCGGACACCAACCTGATGCATAGCATCTGGGAGAGGTGAGGTGCAGCCATTGCTGGCTCTGAGGTGGAGGCATTCCCTGAGGCCCGAGCTGTCATTCCCCCACTGGGGACTTTATTTCCTCTCCTGACTGGGGGAAGGACTTGATGGTGGTGGAGGTCTTTCAGCATTTTGCCATCTTTATTTCTAGGAGGATGAGTTTTGGCCAGTGCAAAAAAGGCTTTCTTAAACTTTTTCATTCCTGAGCTGTTGATCCTGAGGAAAAAGGGATATTGAGGGGCCTCCACCCCAGGGAATAAATATAATAATCATTTTACCCCCTTTTTAAAATTTAGTGAAACATAAAATTCATTAATCTATTCACTCACCCACCAAACTATCCATTTACCCACCCACTCACCCATCTATTCATCTATTACACCTCCATTCTTCTGTATAACCCGCCCATTTATCCACACACCTGTCCCATCCATTCATCCATCCATCCACCCACTCATCATCCATCCATCCATCCTTCCATCCATCCATATCTCTACCCATCCACACATCCATCCATTGAATCATCCATCCATTCATCCATCTATCCATCCACTTATCCATCTATTTGTCCATCCATCCACTACCCATCCGTTTTTGCACTCAACCATCCACATATCCATCAAACTGTCGATCATCCATCCATCCATCCATCCCTCCCTCCCTCTCTCCCTCCCTCCCTCCCTACCTCCATCCATCCAATCACTCATTCAGGAGCTACTTTCTCACAGCAGAGAGGGCAGCTGACTCCCAGGAAGGTCTCCCTGGTGGTTTGGGGCCAACCCTGTCCATGCTCAGGCCACAGCCCAGGCAGTTTTCATTCGAGCCCAGCTCCCTCTGCAGAGCACCATGTCCATGTCCTGAAGTGATCTCCAACCAGGAGTGGAGTGTGGGAGAAGGAAAGAGAGGGAGGGGGGAGAGGGGAGAGGAGAGCGTGGCTGTGAGTGAGTGTCACCTGGAGCTCAGCCCCAGGCGGCTGCCAGCAGCTCTGCAGGCACAGAGCTCTGGGACTTCCCTCCAAAGGAGACCCTTTGCGAGAGCTGTGGCCGGAGGGAGGGCCGAGAGCAGGCAGTGGAGGGGAGCCACAGAAATGCCCCGAGCATGCTCCGAGCTCCCTGGTCAGGTGGAAAAAGGTGGAGTCAGCCGCTGGCTTTGGGTCCTTCCTTGCTCGGTCCTGCACACCATCGGGAATGCCCCTGCGAGGGCCAGCTCCAGCTCGCCACTCCCTTCTCCCAGCCCTCGATGCCCACACCTAAGCCAGGACCCACTGCCCACCTCCTGGCCCCTGTCAGCTGCTTTAGGAGAGGAGAAGGGTGTTTCTCAGTGAGCTCACCGCAAAGCACATCTGGCGCGTTCTCAGAGAGGAGCTGCTGGAACTGGGGCGGGGTGCTCAGAGGAGACCCCGGGAGCCCGGCCGGAGGCCTTGAAGGGCCAGAGGATCTGCTGGCACAGATGAGGGGCATTGTGCCATAGGAGGGAATGCCCGGGCAAGGCCTGAGGTGGATCAGAGCTGAATTGCTGTAATTCACACACCATCCCATTCACCCACTTACCTGGATGCATCTAGATTTCTAGGATGTTCACAGAGCTGTGCAAGCGTCACCACACACACTTTTAGAGCATATTCCTCATCCCAAAGAGACGTCTCATGCTCCCTGTCTCCTACTCCCTGCGGCTCTAATCTCTTTTCTGTCCCCCTGGATTTGCCCAATTTGGAGATTTCATAAAATGAAAGCAGACCACATGGGGTCCTTTGGGGACTGGCTTCTGTCACTCAGCATCAGGTTCCCAAAGCTTTCTCCGTGGTGCACCCTGGATGCGCACGGCGTGCCTTTTTCATGGCCCAGTAATACTCCACCGCTTGGCCACACCAGTTCATTTATCCAGTCCACAGCGGACGGGCGCTTGTGCAGTTTCCACATTTGGCTCTTCTGAGTCATGTTGCTGTGGCGATGCCTGTGCCTGGATTTGTGTGCATGTGGGTTTCCTTTCCGGGGTGGATTCCTAGGAGCGGAGTCACTATTTCACAGGGTACATCTGTTACATTCGAGGAACCGGCAGGCTGTTTCCCACGGTGCCAGCTCCATCTTCCAGTCCCCCCTCAGTATGTGGGGTCCCAGCCTCACCGGTGCTCATCGCCTTCTGTCTCTCTGCTGATGGCGCTCCTCGGGTGTGAGGCGGCGTCGCGTCCGAGGGCGCTCTGACTTGCGTTTCCTCGCTGACCGGGGTGCGGGCATCTCTCGCGAGGCCTGGCAACCACCTGTATACCTTCTCTGATGAAACGTCTGGGCAGATCCTTTGTCTGGTTTGAAATTGAGTTGTCTTTTAAAAAATGTGTTTTTATTGATTTCAGAGAGGAAGGGAGAGAGGGAGAGGGAGAGAGAGAGAGAGAGAGAGAGAGAGAGACAGAGAAACATCCATGGTGAGAGAGAATCATGGATCAGCTGTCTCCTGCACGCCCCCAACTGGGGATCGACCCCATAACCCAGGCCTGTGCCCTGACCGGGAATCCAACCGTGACCTCCTGGTTCACAGGTCGATGCTAACCACTGAGCCGCGCTGGCCGGGCTGAGTTGCCTTTTTATTATGCGGTTGTAAGAGTTCTTTATCTTTTCCGCATGCAAGTCCCTGTCAGGTGTGGTCTGCAGAGCTTCCGTTCTGGGTGACTTGTCACGTCCTTGGGGGCGGCCTGGGCCCAGACGGGAAAGGCCCAGATGAACAAAAAGGAGGTTTTTCTCTTCCCTCCCCTTCGGAGGGCAGAGGGGCCTCGCGGACGCCTCCTCTTCCGCACTGTCCCCAAGCCACCCCCAGAGTGGGTGCAGAGGCGACTCATCCTCCCTTCGCGCCTGCAGAGAGGGGCGCAGCCTGGCTCCAGCTCGTGAGGGTGATGCCGGGAGACGCTGCCCGCGGCAATAACCCTGCTCTCTTGGGCTGCCCTTGTAGACAGAGTAACCGGACGGTCAGCGTGACCCAGGAGTTCCTGGAGTACACCGTCAGCGGCGACAAGAATGACGCCCCCGTCTCTGACAACTACGTGTTTCTGCCTAAAGGGCCTGCGGACCCCGCGTGGGAGGCGGTGAGAGTGGAGATGGTGCGCGGGCGCCTCCTGACGGAGATCCGGCAGTACTTCTACAGGTGCGCGGCCTCCGGGCTGGGCCCGGCACACAGGAGGTGCACGCGGGCGGGTGTTGCGGGCCCACCTTTACCAGCTCCTGCTTGGCAGTTGCCGCTGGATGGAAGTCCAGTGCAGGAATGAACGGCTCCAGGCCAGGCTTTCTGGCTGCGTCTGCATGTGCTGTGTCACCTTGGTGGTGTCCGAGCGGAGCTGGGACAGGAGCCCGCGGTGCCAGTGACTTAGCACAAGAGGAGTTCTTTTTTTAAAAATATATTTTATTGATTTTTTACAGAGAGGAAGGGAGAGGGATAGAGAGTTAGAAACATCGACGAGAGAGAAACATCGATCAGCTGCCTCCTGCACACCCCCCGCTGGGGATGTGCCTGCAACCAAGGCACATGCCCCTGACTGGAATCGAACCTGGGACCTTTCAGTCCGCAGGCCGACACTCTATCCACTGAGCCAAACCGGTTACGGCACAAGAGGAGTTCTTGTGTTTTCCCCGACAGAAGCCATTGGGCCTGTCTGGGCCCTGCGCCATCAGGGAACCAGCGCCTCCCGTCCTGTCCCTGAGAAGGCACCCTGCCCACCCGCCTGCCTGGGGGAAGGAAGGGGAGAGAAGCACCTGCCCTGGCCGGTTTGGCTCAGTGGATAGAGCGTCAGCCTGTGGAGTGAAGGGTCCTGGGTTCGATTCCGGTCAAGGGCACGTGCCTGGGTTGTGGGCTCGATCCCCAGTAGGGGGTGTGCAGGAGGCAGCCAATCAATAATTCTCTCTCATCACTGATGTTTCTCTCTCTCTCTCTCCCTCTCTCTTCCTCTCTGAAATCAATAAAATATATTAGAAAAAAAAAGAAAAGAAAAAAGAGAGGGCAGGAGAGGAGGGAGGAAGGAGGAAGGGGCATCCAGAGGCCCGGAGGCTGCATACTGATTTGGCTCTTGTCTTTCAGGACGTTGGAGGCCAAAGAGCACACCTACGCCATCTACTCCCGCCTGGCGCACGTGCCGCTGGGCTTCGACCGGGAGCTGCTCTGCCACCACCTGGAGCAGGAGCTGCGTGTGGGCCCCCTGCAGGTGAACCGCGAGGCCGTCCTGAGGACCAGCACCGACCTGCAGAGCCTGCGGGTCCTGCACTCGGACAGCAACGCCTTCCAGATGCAGCGCAGGCTCCACCGGGACTACCCGGCCCACACCATCTCCCGGGTGCGCTGGAGAGGCCTGGGCGCGGGGGCCTCTACAGGAGCCCCCCTGCTGCCGGTGGGGGTGGAGCCCAGGCTGGGTCAACCCGGTGTCTGAACTCGGGCTGCCACGCCGAGGACAGTCCCCGGGGGCCTCATTTCCCCTTCTGTAAGATGAGGGCTCGCTGGGCAGAGTTGGTCTGAGGGTTCGTGGGATGATGCGTGTCCAGGGCTGACCGTGTCCGCACTCTCAGCGGAACCCGGCGGCAGCAGGGCCTCAAGTCAGACGCCAGGGCCAGCGCCCGCGCCTTCAGCTCCCAGCTGGTGGCCTTGGGCAAGTGACTGATCTTCCCTGTGCCCGTGCCCTCTCCTCGCCCCCGGGCTGGGAGGGTCCCTGGGAGAATCCAGGGAAGCGGGGTGCTGGGCACCTCGTGAGCCCGCAATGAGCCTTTGTTATTTCTCCTTCCACGGGATCCCCGCTCCGCGCCGCACTGCCTGCCTGAGTGTGTTCCCTGCGTCTCTGTTTGCTGGTCCTCACCCTCTGCGGCCAGGGCCCCCCCAGTCCAGCCTGTCACCCCGGGGGGTTCTGCCCCGCGGGAGCCAGAGGCATGGCCGTGTGGTTGCTGCTCAGATCACGGGCCCTTACGCCAGCACTCCTCGGCCCAGGGCCCTGGCGGGCCCGTGTCCCTCCCTCCCTGCAGCAGTTGTCCAGAGGGGTCTTTGTGCCCCGTCTACAGAAGGGGAAACTGAGGCTTGAGTGGGCTCAGGCCCCCAGCTCACAGGTCAGGAGGCAGGGGAGCCGGATGAGTCCCTCCCCCATGGCACCTCGAGCTGCTGCTGCGCCTGAGCTGGGGCATGGCTGGGGTGGCCAGCGGGCGGTCCCTGACCAGGTGGCCTGCCTTGCCTTTGCCCGACGACCCTCCTGGCCACGTCTGTGTCTACAGAATTACTACCCCATGGTGCAGTCGGCCTACATCGAGGACAGCAGGACCAGGCTGGTGCTGCTCTCTGAGCAGGCGCACGGCGTCTCCAGCCAGGGTGACGGAGAGGTGGAGGTAGGTGGGGCCCCATGCTGCCCCCCACGGCAGCCCCGGTGCCAGGGGCCTGCCACCCAGCTCTCCCCTGCAGGTCCTGCTTCACCGGCGGCTGTGGAACAACTTGGACTTGTCCCAGATTTTCAACGTCACCCTGAAAGACTCCTCCATTGTCCGCCCGGTGTTCTGGCTCCTGCTGGGACCCCTGTCCCTGACCACTCGCCTGCGCCCGCAGAGTGGGCTGGCCCTGCAGCACAGGCCCGTGGTGGTGCTGGGAAGGCTGACTGGTAAGGAGGTGCCGAAACAGAGAACATGGGAGGGTGGGTGCCCTCGGGGCCTGGGCTGTGTGCGCCGTGAGGCCGAGTCCTCTCATGAGGGATTCCTCGTGGGATGTGCATTGAAGAGACGCGGTCACACAGGTCCGGGATTCAGGGCAGACAGTGGGCGGGGCTGACGAGAGGGCCGGTGACCTGTGGGGTTAGGTAGTATGACCCGCAAGCCGAGATGAGCCTGTGGGCCAGCTTTGAGGGATGTCTTAGGGTTCCCGTGTTTGACAGGAAAAGCGCGGATGGAGCAGCTGGGTGGGCGAGGCTGGGAAGCTCAGGGCGGGAGGAGGAACTGGGCAGCGGCCCCGGCAGGCTGGCGGCCGGGCAGCGCTGGGCTTCTCGGGAGCCATCTCTCCCAGGACTGCCCGGAGCTGCTGCCTGCCCCTCCAGGCCCCACGCTGGCCGCCAGTGTTCTTCCTGGCCAAGGCAGCCTTCCCCACGGAGGGGCGTGTGCCGTGTCTGAGAAAGCTCCGAGGCTGCGCTCAGCTCCCTCCATCCGGCCTCACTCCAGTCTCTGTTGGTTGCAAGTGAGAGAAATCGAG